CTTCCTTCCTTCCTTCCTTCCTTCCTTCCTTCCTTCCTTCCTTCCTTTCTTCCTTCCTTCCCTTTGCCTCCAATTTCCCTTTGTTCCTTTCCTTTTTTTCTCTTCCCTTTTCCCTCCCTCCGTCCAATTTTCTTTCCTTCCCCCTTCCTCCTCCCTTCTTTACTTCCTTCTTCTCTCCCTCCCTCTCCCAATTTTCCTTCTTCTATTTTTCCTTCGTTCCTTCCTTCCCCTTTCCTCCCCCCTCCCATTTCCCCCCTTCCTCCATCTATTCCTTCCTTCCTTCCTTCCTTCCTTCCTTCCTTCCTTCCTTCCTTCCTTCCTTCCTTCCTTCCTTCCTTCCTTCCTCCCCTCCAACTCACAACCAAGAGGTATCTACACAGTTTCCACCCAATTTCACGCCCCTCCCACCCCGCCACGCCTTCTAACCTTCACTTTGACGGTGTTCGCCACAATGCCATCGACAATATCTTCGGTGAAAGGGTCGAAAAACTTGTCCGACCGTCGCATAAACTCGGGCTTCAGCAAGTAGCCGCTCCGGCGATTGTACTCAAAGATGCCCAGGTTCAACTGCATTGGCAAGTCTGCACGAAGGGGCGATACCAAAATGTAAGCCAGGTTGCTAGTCCTCATTATACCGCCAGAAGGAAAGCCGACAACAACATGCAAAAGATGTCTGGATACACACTGTGCGCGACCCATAGACCCATAGCTCCATTCCTCCTTATATTTAGAAGCAAAGATTATTTCTAGCGGCTTCTCTTTTTATTGAGAATTTAAAGCTTAACGGGAAGCTTAAAAAAAAATGGCGGGCAAATTCATTTATCAAAGTCACCCGCTCTTTGGCCAAGGCAGTGAAAACGTTTAAAAAAAATAAACATGTAAAACAAATTTGAATTTTAGTCCTGTATGTAAAACACAAAAACCTTAGTGGTACGGTGGCCTAGAGGTGCTGCTCTCACCTCACAATCAGGAGGCTGCGAGTTCAAATCCTAGGTAGAGGCAGATGTTCCTCTTTCTGGGCAAAATAAAGAATATTATCTGCTGAACAAAACTCCGCTCTGGTGACAAGGAAGGGCATCCGGCCAGTAAACACTCAGTTCCATTCAATTGCTCAGACTCCACCCCGCAAGGGATTATGGGGTTGTTAAAAGAGGATGATGTAAAGCAGAGAAACTGCACCTTTCCCCAAAGTAGCCGTTCCCACCTTAGCTCAATTGCCATTAAATTTTGTGTGCCGTATAAATTTAATAAATAATAAAGTTATTAAATAATATAAATGTAATAAATAATAACCATCATCCTTCCAGGTTCATCTGCCCCGACATTTTGATGTCTGGTTAAACCAAAACCTCTCTCATTCGCCAATCTAAACAAGGCCGCGAGGAAAAGTTCTTTTTTTAAATGTATTACACGCCTGTGCAAGTTCCTAGCCCTCATTGCCCTCCAGAAGGCCAACTCACCCAGGGACTGAAAATTGAGGGCCACCATCTGACAGCCGGCGTTCCAGAAGACTTGTGGCATGTAGTTGGAGGAATCCACACGTGTCCCTTTGGGGTAGATTCGGCTCAACTGTTTCTTGTTGTATCTGAGAAGGATGCGTGTCAAGGCCGAAAAATTGGTAGGTGTGGTCAGTTGTCCAGTTGACTATCAACACCTGTACCTCAAAGCAATCCCTCCAACCCGTCCCACACCTCCCCTGTCAATTCAGCCTTCCTTCTTAACATTAGAATCATAAACCATAAAAGTGGGATCTGAGGGGTCATTTAGTCCAACCCCCTAACTCAAGGCAGGATCCCTTAGAGCAATGTTACTTAAAATGTGGTTTTAACATTCCAGGGATGTTGACCCCAAAAATCCCCTCAGGAGTCATCAAAAATGGACACTGCAGGTAATCCTCGATTTATAGTGACCGTTTGGGGTTACAACGGCACTGGAAAAAGGGACTTATGACCGTTTTTCACACTTATGACCGCTGTCTCCGGGTTCGTGTGATTTACATTCAGATGCTCGACAACTGACTCTTATTTATGACAGTTTTTTACGCTGACCGACCGTTGCAACATCCCCATGATCATGCGATCAAAATTCAGACACTTGGCAAAACTGACTCACATTTATGACGGTGGTAGTGTCCCGGGAGTGGGGGGAGGGGGGTCACGTGATCCCCTTTTGCAAGCTTAAAGAAGCCGGATTCACTTAACGACCGTGTGGCCGACTGAACCACTGCAGGGATTCACTTAACGACCATGGCACGAAAGGCCGTACAACGGGGGAGGCGGAGAAAACTCACTTAACCACCGTCACGCTTAGCAACAGAAAATGCTGGGCTCAACAGCGGTCGTTAAATCGAGGACTGCCTGTTTTCGCTTAATGGCGGGAAAGAAAGAACGCTGGGTTCGAATCCCACCCCCGCCGTAGTGATAACCTGGACCGGAGCGAAGACATCAATTTAGAAGTTTTGAATTGGGACATATTGATAAATATCAGCCAGGCCAAAGCACAACGGAAACCTCTCATCAATTTTAAAAATGGGGGGGGGGAGAAAGGGGCTCCTGAGGGACGTGGGTTCGAAAGCTTCATATTTGCAGGATACTCGACAAACTCCATGGGGCTGTTGGTCAGCTGCTCCAACCCTTTGGTCTCCACGAAGGAAGACATTTCGAAAGATTTGTTGCGTTCTGGAAGAGAAGTTTAGTTTTAGTTTATTGTCACTGCACCTCCTGCAACGAAATTCAGTACCATCTTCAGTGTACAATTTATGACTATGGAAATAAAACACAAACCCACATCCTTCACATGCTACACATTGAATTGAAAATCCCTGATATTGCATGAATATTGCACTATACAGTAGAATTCAACAGAGCTACTGCCCTGGGATAGAAGCTGTTTTTCAGCCTATTTGTCCTTGTTTTTATTGTCCTGTACTGGATGTCAGATGGTAATAGTTCAAAAAAAAGGGTTCCCAGGATGAGATGGATCTTTGAGGATGTTTTGAGCTTTCTTAAGGCAGCAGGAGCTATAAAGCTCTTCCAAAGAGGGGAGAGGGCAACCCAGGATCCTCTGGGCCATGACATTCACCCTCTGGAGTGCTGTCCTATCTGCCCCTGTGCAATTGGCAAACTCTACAGGGTTTGCAGTGAGTTAAAATTCTCTCTCTGGTGCAGCAGGAGAAGGTCACCAGCAGTTTTCCATTCAGTTGTTGTTTCCTGAGAAGCCTCAGGTAATATAATCTCTGCTGGGCCCTTTTGAGCAGGGCTGCAAATATGAGCAGCCCAGGAAGGAAGGAAAGCAAAAAAAAAAAAAATAGCAGGACGTCAATTTTCTGTATGTGCCTAATACCCTGTTCCCTCCCCTTCCCCCATAACAACAACCTTGAGAGGGAGGCCGCCCAGAAAAGTAGAGATTGGCCTCCAATCGCCCAAGAGGTTTGCCCACAAAACTGGCTTTTAAATCTGGCACCTTGGACGGGCCAGGTCGTCCTTCAAATGAAACGCTACGAATTTGGTGATTGTCCAGCTGCATATTTAAGTGCTCGGACAAGCCTCTATATCTCAAGGATCAGGGCAGTTTGCAAGGAAGGAGGGGGAAGAGCCAAAAACGAAAATGACAAAGGTAGCCTCTACAAGGGAAAAAAAAAACCCTGTTTTTCTGTGCTGAGGTTACAGAGACCATATGTCCTTCCTCATAGATCAGAGGTCTCCAAACATGGCGACTGTAAGACTCGTGGACTTCAACTCCCAGAATTCCCCAGCCAGCCGGAAATCAAGAGGCCGTAAAATCAGGCGCAGTCACATGATTTAGTGACTGTGACAAATTTACTGCCCCCAACCCTGGCCGTAAGTCGAGGACTAGCTGCATTTTTTCCCCTCCCCCCGAGAAAATACGGCTGACAAAATTAAGAGGCGCGTGGAACCAGGCATCCCTGGCTAACGTTTTTATGCCGCAAAGGGCCAAAAGGCAGAAGCTGAATTCAGCCGCCGGTCACCATCGCTTGACCATGTTCCTCCCCTCACTCACTGCTGGCCACCTCGAAGGACTTGAACTTGACCGGTTCGATGTAATTGACCAAGGTTGACATCTCCTCTGTGGCGTTCACTTCGCTGCTGGCGGTGCCCTGGGGGTGATCAGGGGGTTGGCAGGGGGGAGGGGGAAGAGGAGGAGGAGGAGGAAGAGGAGGAGGAAGAAAAGGAGGAGAATGAAAAGGAGAATGAGAAGAAGAAGAAGAAGAAGAAGAAGAAGAAGAAGAAGAAGAAGAAGAAGAAGAGGAGGAGGAGGAGGAGGAGGAGGAGGAGGAGGAGGAG